ATACTTTAAATATTTTGGAAAAGAGCAGAGTAAATCGCAATGTGCGCCTTCACAACTTCGCTTAAAGGACGGAGTAATTATGTACATGCACAACATTTGCTTGTGGTTTACTTTGCTTATGGTCATTAGTGATTTGACTGAATCCATTAGTCAAGTGAGAGCAAAGAGCAGAAAACAAACAAAAAAAGATCAGGTAAAAACAACAGCAGTGCTTTTGTGCTATCTGCCTTTAAATTAGGCCTGTAGCCGTCCTGCTGAGTATAGGGGAAGCTTCTGAGTCCCGGCCCTGAGATCTTATTTCCAACTTCAGAAGACGCCTTTTCTGTTAATGGAGGATGTGGTCAGAACCAGCGGTGAAGCCTCAGACGCTGCATTTCATGCTAAACAATTGCATTAGTCAACAAAGATTAACAGCCTAGGTATGGATAGGTTTACATCCTGGTGAGTCCTTACCGAATTGTTTCACTTTAAAACCCAAAACGTGAGTTTAATTTATTGGGATTTTATTTTGTGCGTGTTTTTTTTATCTTCTTTTAAGCCACGTTTATTCAGACCCTTCTGCAGATTTTACCAATTCAATTTTAAGATTTTTTTTAAAACTGTCACAAATGAAATTTAATACCCCTATCACGTCAGAAATGTAAAGCTAAATAAATAAATAAATGAATGAAGTCTCAACTTTCTTATTGCCAAGCTTTTGTTGCAGTGATTGTAGCATTTTATGGGTAGGCAAAGAAGTTATCCAATGGTGAAGACAAACATTGTCTAGCTAGCCAACTGGCAATAAATTTGTACTGAAATTATGACAGGTGCAAATGAAAGAGAACTAGCTAGCTAGTTTTTTTCCCAGCGAGTGAGGTCGTTTTTCTAGCAAGCTAACTGCTTAAAACATGGCAGATGCAAAAAAAAGGAGAGAGCTAGCTAGTTAGTTTTTTCTAGCTTCCTAGCAAATTTTTCTAGGTAACTAACTACTTAAACCATGGCATATGGAAAAAAAGAGAGCTAGGTAGTTTTTTTTTTATAGCTGGCAGCTAGCTAGTTTTTCTAGTTAGCTAACTACTGAAGCCATGGCAGATCCAAAAAAAAAAAAAAAAAAAAGAGAGCAAGCTAGCTAGCTAACTACTTAAAGCATGGCAGATGCAAAAACAGACAGCTAGCTAGTCTTTCTAGCTAGCTAACTACTTAAACTTTGGCAGATGCAAAAAAGAGAGCTAGCTAGTTTTTTCTGCCTAGCTAGTTTTTCTAGCTAGCTAACTAAACCATGGCAGATGCAAAAAAGAGAGCTAGCTCGCTATTTTTCCCCCTCTATAACCAATGCTCTTGTTAATGTAGCTGCCAATATACTCTTTTTAGCAAGCAAGGGTGGTACTTACCAGTAGCCTCAAGTATATATTTATCAAATTTGATCACTAGCATCTTACTAGAATAAGAAGGATATTAGGAAATTAATTCTGATTTCATATTAAAAAGAAAACATAAGCACATCATCAGAAATAGTCCTGAAAGGAAGTAGGAAGAGTTTCAGTTTTATATTTTCACTGTAAACTTTCAAACATTCAACAAATCATTGCATTGACAAGTATGCTATGCAATAATAATAATACTAATACTAATAATAAAAAAAACATTCAGCAGCAGCTCAATAGAATTTCAATGCTGCATATTCGATTTACAAATACCACCATCTCCTCTTTCAATCTTTTAATAAAAGCTTGAATATAAGACATTTTTTACAGTATTTATTACATTGGTTTGTCAAAAAAAAAAAAAAAACTGCATCAAGATTTCATAAACCAACAAAATCTTACAAGGCATTTCTTTCCCCTGGACATTCAACATTCACCACAGGTGGATCGGAATACAACAGTGTGCTGGTTTTTGGGGTGTTTTGGACGACAGATAAAAAATAAACAGAATTCTTTTGCTGTAAATCCTAGAAACACTTTCAGATCCTTTTTTAATGTTAGTCAATTTGAGAAAGTGGAAAAAAAAATTAAAAATTGACAATTTTACACTAGATAAAAGCTTTTTACCTAATTTTAACTGCAAGGAAACAGGAAAAAATGGCTATTTAGCCGCGACAAATTCAGCTGTAACTTAGCCATTGTTCTCCCAAGCATGGGAGACTTGAGATGTACCCAAAGAAACCGTGAGTATCTAAACAGAAACAAGCACAACACTGAATGGGTTTACTCAACTGGTCCAAGCACTTTCAGCACACTCGAAAATTATTGGCACCACAAGTTAAGGTGAACCCTTTTCTGACGACGGCTATTTGTGTTGATTTGGCCATAAGTCTTGTTTTTGTTTTTTTAAAAACAAAAACAAAAAAAGAGGTCAGTTTCAGGTTACTGGTTGAAGCCATCAGAATTTAATTTACACCTTCCTGATATTAAAAAAACAAAAAACAAAAAACCCCCAAAGAAAACCAGGCTGACAGCATCACACACCCCCTACTGTATTTTAGGGGAGGAAGTTTGCAGAAATATTTCAAATTGTGAAGAGAAATGGATATCTACCTGACTTAACAGAGCATCCAAAGGAAATGGGCACAGTGTGTATACATCCTAACAAAAGAGGTGATCTGGAATTGCAAAACGTTTCAGAATACACAGTGATGGATATGTGGGGGTGGAAAAAAGCACCTCACACTAATTGTTAAGCATGATGGAGGATCTGTCATGCTGTGGGGGCCCGTATATCTTCTCCAGAGGGATTCTCTGTGCTTCTCAGTGCCAGGTTACGCCACTGCAAGAAAAAAATCTAACGGATTTTATGGCTTTTCACACGGTTTTTTTTTTACGAGAGGTGCCAACAACTGCGGAGGGTGCTGCAGGCAATTCTCACACACCGATCGATAAAAGTGTCATTGGAGGAAGCACTTTTTAGTACTTGGGAACAGAGGCATGAATCAGAAACAACCAATTATGTGCAATTCGTGCTTAAACACAAAGTTGAGTTGTCGCAGAAAGCTGCCGAATGGCAGGTTTAGAGGACTGCTCTGCCACTGTACGGTTCAACGACAGGTTTTCAGTTACTTCTATATTATCAGGGAGTCCACATGTTTGGGTGGTGCACTGAAAAAAAAAGAAAAAAAAAAAGAAAGACATTGCTCCATAAGTTAAGTCATTTCAGTATTCTAACGTTTTCTCTCCACATTTACAAAAGATGCCGCTAAAGATCCGACAGAACTCATTCAAAACTCGACGCTTCAACACTTTCTCTGGCCGTTGAGATTTGCCAGCAGACGACGCGTACGTGATGCATATTTGAAAAGGAAAGCGACTCACAGGAACGGCCGCTGCTGCACTTCCACAGCAGCGGCCCGATCGCTCGGCCGCCGCAGAAAGAAAACTGTGCCTCGCCGAAAGTAAGCGAGAGCATTTCTGACCCAGTTTTGACTCGACGTTTCACCGCAACCCACATGACCGCACCGAGACGAGGCCGGCGGGTTGCAGAAGATAAGGAAAGATAAAAAAAAACAAAAAAAAAAACGGGGGGGGGGGAAATAAGGCTCAACAAAAAATAAAAAATAAAAATACTGAGTACCTATTAGCTCAATAGATGAAATGGTGCATTACCTTTGTAAATTATTGAACTTGGGGAAAGTTTATATGTGAAAAGCTCCTGATTAGGAACTTGGTGAAGGTTCTGAAACAGACAAGTGGCGTTTGAGTGAATGTTGGACCGGACCACGCTTAGAAATCCATACTGCTTATGCTTATTGTGTAGCTTGCATGATCATAAACAATACCTGAAACTTAGCATTATTAACAAACACCCATCACACTCATTGGCACTCCTGGTAATAATGTAGAAACATTATTAAAATAAATAGGACAGTCTTTTAGTGTTTTTTTTTTTTTTTTTACAACACTTCACAAGATTGGAGAGGTTTCAAAATCCTCTGCACCGGGAATGAGAACAGGCCCGCAGCATGATAAACCCTCTACCGTACTGACCGTTAGCCAGAAGGTTCTTTATCTTACAGCCAACCTTTGTTTAATGCCAGATTTCACTTATTTATGTTTGTAATGGTAGGACAAAAAAAAAAATGTTTTGCCCTACTCTGCCTCCTGAACAGCCAGATTGTATATTATTGGCAGCCATGGAAACTTGGTAACAAGTAGCGTCGTATTTTTAGCCAAAGGAACGGAATCGTGAATCACTAAATTAAACTTCTGGGCTAAACTTTAAAATGATCAAAAGGATTTTTTCCCCCCACTCCTTCCGATTCACCAAGGAAATTCTCATCTACATTTTCCAGTGTGAGATTTATGCAAAAAAAAAAAAAAAATCAGTCGACTGTCAATTCGCTTTAAGGCCTTAACGAGGGTGCTAATAAGGATGGAGGGTGAGGAGCGTGCTTACAGATGGAACAGAAGTGAACACTTAACTTCTCCTTAAACTGAACACTTATCGTTGTCAACCTGCAAAGCAACTAGATGAAAACAAAACATGAAAAGCAGCAGTTGCCAAACGTTTACACCTGGCTTTGTGCGCATCATTTATTGGCATCAACTTGCTACTGAAACAAACAAAATTCTATATATATATATATATATATATATATATATATAGTTAGCTCTTTATTACTGTTAGACAAAGACCAAGATAGGAAGGGAAACATATCTCTTGGCCTCATTTAGTAAAAGGGAAGAATTATTAATAAATACAAAAATAATAACAGATATGTACAAATATGAACTATAATACTTTCAACATTTCTTCAAAAATGCCATATAAATTCTATATATATATTTTTTATTATACTAAAAAAGTCTCTGTAGCTCAAACCTTAATGGTCACTTCGATACCAAACATTATTTAAGATAAATTATTATACAAAAAAAACAAAAAACAATCCAACACCACTGTAATAATTCCATTTTGAATGCTAGTCCATCAAAATCAGAAAGAAGAAGAAGAAGACGAAGAAGAAGAAGAAGAAGAAGAAGAAGAAGAAGAAGAAGAAGAAGAAGAAGAAGAAACAAAGCGAATAAAGTCAAACCTTATCCGGTACTGAAATACAACGCACCGATGTGGCATCATTGGTAACACGAACGCTTCCTTCCCTCCGTTTTGCGCGAGCAGGACTTCTGCGTGGCACCGACGCGGAAGGCGGGGAGGCTAAGGAGGGGGGAGTCAGTCGAGGAACTCAGGACAGTAAGTGCACTTGGAACACAGGCATGCTGGGACAGAAACGGAGGGAAACGGACAAAGCCGCTGGGTGCGCAGGGGAGAGAACTGGCTAAAACCCAGCCGAACTCGCTGCCGACGCTCCCCGTCTCAGACAAAAAGACAGAAAGAGCCAGAGTGAGGAAAAAAGGCCAGTGGGAGCAACAAAGTGGCATAGCTAAAGTCCCACAGTAGTTGTGTCGGGTGGTCCTGGAAAAACAATCACAGTTGTCTTTCTTTGCCCAGCGGGCTGGAAACCAAACTCCAGAAACTTCTGCGGCGCCGGAGAATTCCCTTTGCAAATAATAGTTTTTTTTTTTTGGGTTCTGTAAAAACCACAATCAAAGAGAGAGGCATGGGAGATTCCCGACAGGACGCCGCCACCCCACACCTCCACCGTGTCACACTGAAGCCGTCGCTGGAAGAGTGGTGAAGTCAAAGGTCACATATGGTGGTGGCCTGGACAGCGGCCCGACGTTCTGTCCGCACAACGGCTTTCTGTCAGTGATTCAACTTGGCCTGCAGAGACACACAGAATTATCATTCAGAGCTTCGCTTTAGCGTCGACGACGACTACGATGTGCCGCAGTCTGAAGACCACCGACCTGTCTGGGCGACTCGGGCCCCGACGCCAAGATCCCCATGCCGTCGTTTCCCTTCCCAAAGAGGCTCTCCAGTCCGCCCGGTCGGCTCGCTTTGCTGGATTTCCCTTTGTAGGAGCTGGGACTCCTCCTCTTCCTCCCCTCTGCTCCTCCGCCGTAAGCTAAGGGTCCTGTGGGCGGAGGCATTGGCTGGTGGGGGGCCGAGGACGGTTCCCTGGCCGCGTAGGTTAGACCACTGGTGCCAAGTTCACGACTAGAAGCAGAAAACAAAACCAAACAAAAAAATTCATTACGCTCTGGAAAACACAGCTCCATAAAATAAAACCATAATAAATTGCTTAAAAACATTTGGCAGACTTAATTCACACAGTTGAACTGAAAAAAACAAAACAAAACAAAAAAAAACAAACAAAAAAAAACCCAAATGTATAACCCTTCAGAGTTTCTTCCAGATTGGATTGAATACCGAAACGTTATTTTTCTTCTTCTGAAGCGTTTTTTCGTATTTGGATGCATGCCTGGATTTATTGTGATCCTGAAATATTAAACCCCAAATCATCTTTAGAAAAGAGACATGCATGTGTGCAGGATGTTCCCATCATTGTTGTAACTGTTACTCAGTTTTGACCTTCAGTCATGTTTTTTTTTTTTTTTTGGTCAAACAACTTTTGCAACTGTCAGATTTGTCTCTCGCCGGGTTTCGGGCGACGTTAGTCGGGCCTGAACGTTTTCTCCTACGAGGACTACACCTCAAGTCGAGAGGAGGCGAGTACAGGAAAACACAAACGGCGTCTTTTCTTACCAGTTGTGTGTGTTGTGGCTTTGCTCTGCTCTGGACAGCCAGTCGTCTGAGCTGCTCAGAAGCCCGCTTCCCGCTCGAGGTCCCTTGTTTTTGGCCGACGACGCCCTGGCCGCCCCGAAGCCCTGAAACGTCTGATGAAAGCTGCTGCCGTTCCGTCGGTGGGCGTCCACCGTCTGAAACGGCGACGGCGGAGGGTGCGAAGAGTTCTTTCTCTTTTTCGCCGCCGCCGGGGCATCCGAGTCTTTGGGCGAGCAGCCGGCCTTGTGCGAGCCGTTCCGGGCTTTTCCCGGCGAGTCTCTGACGCCAAACAGTCCGGCCGCCGACGCCGACTGTGGGAACGAGGTGGTGTAGGTGAGGCTGTTGGAGGGGGAGGACAGGACGGCAGCGGGAGGAGCCTGGTGCGCGGTAACCGAGGCGGCGACGGACGTGGAGTTGGAGGGGAGGCTCTCGGCAGCCAGAGGCACCTTCCTGGAAAACGCAAAACAAAACTCTTATAAAAAGAAAACCTTTGCCATGCAGAAGAATTACCACGAACTAATTAAACATGACATTTGAAATCTATAGCCTCCTTGTGGTGAGCAACTTGCACAAAACTTTTCTGAAGAGAAAACCGTCCGCCATATTTCTCCTGAAGACAACCGACATCAGAATTTTTTTTTTTTTTTTTTTGTTTCCGTTTCATTTCACACCCCGATCACCTCAATTTTAACATCCGACTCCGGTTCTAATAACGGGTCGTAAAAGTTGGTGCACACTCGCCTCCACATCTGCGCGTTGAGGTGTTTCTCCACCATGCTCTGCAGCGCCAGCCTCATCCTGTCCCACCGCCTGTCGAACACGTAGCAGCCCGGACCCACGAGCCGGCTGCTGAAGACGCAAAACTGGAGGGAGACACAAGAGAAGCCGGTTGAGAGCGAACTGAGGGGAGCAGGAGAGAGACAGTGATAAATAAGAGAGGGAGGGGGGAAAAAAAGGGACATTCAAGGATGAAATACGAGAGCGACGCGAGGGATCAAATGGGAGAAACGGAAGAAGCGAATGTTGGACAAAAAGCTGAATTTACAAGGACGCTACATATCATCACTGCAAGTAAATTGAAATCTTTTGCTTCTTTATAATTAAAAATAAATACCAAATATAAAAAAACAGAAGCTTGGCAACAAGTCTCGATTTCTGCACAGTTACATCTCTTGACATTTACCCCTGAAGGCCGTGGATGATGACTGGAGTAGTGCAGGGAAGGCCTGTCGGCGTCATCCGGGGTGTCCGCGTCTCCCTCGTCGCTGGAAAGCCGCCCGCCGTCCCCCGCTGCGTTCGTCCAGCTGCTTGGAGACGGCTCTGGGACGGGCGTCGCGGCAGGAGGCGCCGCTGGAGGCAGAGGACTGGAGGCGGAGAGGGAGGAGGAGGCGGAGGAGGAGCCGCCTGGAACTCTGGAGAAAATCCATTGGAAACACAGAAAACGAGTGAGCACTCTCACATTTTTGCGTCTCCCTTCTTCAGAAGTTTGTGTTTGGCAGCACCCCCTGGTGGTTAAGCATGGAAACGCAGCGTCTTTTCCCTCTTTCAGTAGCAGCTCAGTTCAGATCCGGCTGGAAGAGAGAATCTGCGCAAGATGAGTGGGATCTGCTCATCCTGACGAGCAGCAGAGACGGAGCCAATAAACCTCCCTGTGTGGGTTGTGTTTATTACTTTAGGAGCGCTTCACTCAGCCCAAAGAGGAGAATATCACAAAGTGAATGAATTCAACATGTTTCGAGAAAAGCACTAAAGATTTCAACTCCAGACAGCGAAGGAAGAAAGATCAATCTGTAAATCCGCGCTGACTGTGAAGAAGCTGCGTTTCGTAGCTTAACCTTCCCTGTGGCGGTGATCAATTATCGACTGGTGGCTTTACCTCGGTATGTGCGCGTTTGCGAGCCGCAGCTTCAGCGAGGACAGCGGCCGTTCGCCGGGGCAGTGGGGCTTGCTGGGACTCGGCGAGTCTTGAGGCGCGACGCTCTGGCCGCACGCTTCCTTCCCTCTCTGCGCCGCTTCCTTCTCCTTCTCCTTCAGAGCCTCCCTCTCCTTCGCCAGCCCCTTGTGCTCGGCCAGCAGCACGTCAAACAGCCGGCTCCGGCCGGGCACGGCGCGGCGCTGGGTTAGGGAGTGAGTCTGTGGCGGAACGAGGAACGAGGAGAAGAATTAAGTGTGTTTTACAAGGCAGCTTCCCGTGCCAGCCGCATTAACCGGCACTTCAAGGAAAAATGCAAAACTTGCTAAAATATGTTTGTATGTCGGCTTTAGAAGCCGACAGCATCTCAGAGTCACGTGACCCTTGTTTTGAACTTCGTGGTTATGGTACTATTGAGCTGTTGGGATGTCAATCAGATGCTACTGGGTTGCAAAAGACAAAACACACACACAAGGCAACACACCGTGTTGCCATGGTTGCCACAATCAGAGTAAAACAGTAGGAGGTAAAAAAAAGCCTCTAAAAGCAGAAGGAATAATTGTCCCATAATAAAAACCAAATGTTTCTACCCAAAATAAATAGAAATTTAGAGCCAACGTGACCTGTAAGAGGGATTACAAAATATCACGATTAAAGAGTTGCTTTAGTTTAGGAAAAGGAAGAATTTTACATTTTTTATTTAAAAAACAAAACAAAAAAAGAACACTACAAGTCAGGGAGGATCTTCAAACTGTGCATAAATCACACTCCCAACTATCCCGACTGCAGAATAATAAGAATGTGACGGCTTGATCAATCTGAGTGCGAGGACAGACGGAGAGCTTTGGGGAGCACTTTGTCTTCGTGTTGGTCTGATGCGAGGTCAAGGACGACAGCCAGGACAGAACCAGGTGTTGCTCCGACGAGACCAGGTGAGACGGCAGCAGGGGTGGGATTTTATGATCACAATAAAACGCAGAAACGGTGCTGCTAACTGAAGAGATTTACTGCAATTAAATTAATACAAAAAGAACTTAAACACACCAACACCAGCCCTGTATTTAGAGTGGTCTCAACTGTACGGCGCATAGAGATTATGTTTTAAAAATAAGGCTGTTTGCAGATTAATTTTTTTTTTTTTTTTAATCGCAATTACCGAGATGACGCAAAGCGGATCTGTTAGCTGGCAGGATTCAGCCCTTGCTGAAAAACACAGAGGTCACCTGTACTAAAATACCTCCAGCTTTCCAAAAAGAAGTGAGGCTGCTGAACTATTAATTTACATACATTCAAAAGACGAAAAAAAAATAAAAAAGAAAGAGAGATGCAGAAGAGCACAAGCAGGCTGCCGCCGCAGAGAAATGCATCCGGACATCCAGGATGACTAATTGGGGCCGCCGAATGTTTAGACAAGAGGCAAAGATTCCAGGCTACCTGGCCAAAGGTTGTTCATCATGTTCAGCATCTCACAGGCTGCAGTGAGGAACACAGCTGACGCAAAAAAGAAGAAGAAGAAGAAAAAAAAAAAAAGAAACAATGCCGCTTCTCTCAACTCTTCATCACTGCATAATTGGGTCCTGACAGCGAAAGGAATTTAGCAGCTACGAGCGCGTGGTGTAACTGGAACAGCACCATTGATCCTACCTGCCTCTGTCTGTCTGTCTACAGCACAGGACTAATGCTGCTGGTGTAGATTTAATGCGGCACGTAATTGCAAATTGCATCTGCCTAATGGTAGAAATCGTGACGGGAAATGTCCTGAGTGTGCGTTCGACTCCATCGCTACTCTGCAGGTGCTCGGGTTTTAAAGCCAGTGCTGTTCGGATCAGAACAAATCCATCTTTACAAGCACGTAAAAACAAAATAAAAAAAAAATAAGTTAAATAATATTACGAGCAGGAAGTTAGCAAACCTATAGAATTTTTGCGCGACACTTATTGGCGCCTCTGGTAAAGAAGTGAACGCTTCTCATGTACAAGTCTCACATCATGCCACATGTCCAGAAAAATAAATTGAAAAAAAAAAATAAATAAAAATACAAAATATTCTGCCCATCATCTTCTATCCACCCCCCTCCCTCCTTTTCCTTAAAGTACACACAAACAGTCACTTGATGGATCTCTAATTACTTAATAACCAGTGTGTTTGAAAAGATTAGTAAAGCTTGGTGGAGGTAATTAAAGGGCAGTAATAGAGCATTACAGCTAAACGATGATGCAGCCTCATCTCACATCTATAATTAACTCATCAAGAGGAGCGAGGACCCTGGAACACTTCGGCGGAGCTACCCTGTGCTAACGGAGAAACTGGAAGCACAGACAGATCCCAGCTATAGATATGATGACTGGTGATCTTAGAGGTTTTTTTTTTTTTTTTCCTTCTCAGAATCGGATGCGTGAGCGGGAGAAAGCTGGGACGTCGGACTGAGTTACCTTGCAGGTGAGCGAGCGTGTGCAGGAGCGCTTAGTCTCGGGGTCGGGCACGCCGCAGTGCTTGTCAGGATCAAAGACTCTCCCTGTAAAACAAACACACACACACACACACACACATTACACTAAAATATATCAAATCTCATTAGATGGAAGATGAAGCTCTACGGTCCACTGCCTGAGCTAATTCGGCGCTTTCAGAAAGCAGTTTGTTCTTCCTCGGCGTCAACCTTGAGAGTTTCAGTCGTTCAGATGTAATTAAAGAAGTCAGCTACTGTGATTCTGTGTAAGATCGCTGCCTGTGTTTTTCTGTATCAAACACATCAAATGAACAAGTGATCCGTGCTGTGACAAATTCTTCTGGCAAGAAATATTGGCAGGCTGACAGGAGTCCCCGATGACTGACAGCCCTGCCAGCTCTGTTGTTTATCAATGTTGTCTGGAGGCAACACTGATTTTTAAGAGGAAACGTAAAGTTTAGCTTTTAGCCGTTTTCACTTTCTTTGTTGAGCTAAAATCTATGTAATCTGTTTGTCAGCTAAGTAACAAAACTCAGACAACAGTTATTTTAGCATATTTTATCTAGCTGTTAGCTTAGTTAGCTTAGCTATATCAGAAGGTTTTCAAAACCAACACAAACTAACTAAAACTAAAACAGTATACCAACAGAAAAAAGTCCAGCTTATGACAAATGTAGGCACTTCAAAGATACAATCTGGTCAAAAATTGACAAAAAAAAAACAACAACAACAAAAAAAAACAAAGCCTAAGAAGTATCCGTCTTAGACATGTACGGTGGAAAAGAAAAGACTTCATGAGGGAATGACAGAAAACAATGAAAGTGTTCAGATGCGATTTCTTTTTCTGACAAAAAAAAAAAAAAGGGAGAAAAATATTCAACGTGACTGTTAAGAGATGCACTGATAGGTTTGATTTACTGACTATAACACACCCAAACTCATCTGTGTAAACTCTTCTAATCCAGCACTCAAACGTAAGAAACATTGATCACGGGAGAAATAAAATATGTGGCAGGTTGGAGATTTTGAATCCGACAAATGGAGGAATTACAAGATTACTGCTGTTTGTCTGCAAAAGCACAGTTCACTTAGCAATAGGCATTAGAAGAGTGCTTCAAGGAACATGAATTTACAGAATGGCAAACATTTCCAGGTCTGACCAACAAAAAAAATGCATGATATTTCAGCGTTTAATTCGTTTGCTCTGAAAACAGCGGAAATGCCGTTCGTATGTTTCATTCTTTTCTGACTCTTAAAATACAAAATGCATCTCTCAAGGCTCCAGAGCAGATGGCAGGGTTGCAAACTCGTTCCATCTTTGGACTACTTTTAAAAATGCACAAAAACTCACTACAAGTCTGAGGCAGATGCTCTCAAATGCAACGCAGTTCATGACACTGGACGATTTAGATTTAAAATGCTTTTTATTCAACCAAAAAGTCTGCCCCTTTTGACAGCAAAATGTTTAACTATTACTTTTTAATTTAAAAAAATGCACACCAAAAATTATTTACACCCTGGTCAGTAATTCGTGGAAACCTTCTGATACTTTTTATAATTGCTGACCTGCTTTTTGCAAGTTTCCATTTGCATTCCTGCAAGTTGATGTTGAATGAGCTCTTTACCATCTCCCTAAACTTTAGCTCCCTCCACAGTTACAAGACGGGACTCCAGCTAATCCATCCCCCAATGTTAACATTAGAAAGCAGCCAGAAGTAAGATGCTGAAAAGATTAAAAAAAAAAAAAAAAACATTACTTAAAACCTAAATATAACGGGTAGAAAAATCATTCTTGGCTTAGCTTTCGGTGTTTACAAAATCCAGGGACCGCCAACAAGAACGCAGATTACTTCTAATCTTTCAGCTTTGTTTTCTCTAGACTTGATTAAAACTTAATGACAAATTGTAAAGCAGCTGAACAGAGAGTACTGGAACAAGTTTGCAGTTGCAAAATGGAGAAGAACTCCGCTGGAAAAATGTGGATTCGATTCTGGACAGGTTTTGCCGTACTTGTTGGAAGCAAATTTAACTGGACGATTTTAAAAACTAAACTTTTCTGACTGCTAGAGAGCCGTACCCAAACACAGGGAGTCTCTCCGCACAAAACGGCAAGGCAGGTTATCTTAAACTGTTGCTGGGAGAAGGCTGTAATCTTGTCCTGGCCTGTTTTATAATCCTCGTAATCTTTCTGCATTTGCTGCACCGGACAACAGGTCAAATCTACGCAGAGGCAAACAGGCATCGTGGATATAAACAAACTCGCGTGCTCTTATACACACACACACAGAGAAACACACTCAATTTACACCGGCTAGACAGAGCAGCCTGATAAAGAGCAAAACAAGCAGAGAGGAGCAGAGAAGGAAAAACTCAGCCAAGTGTGAATATGCCAGAGAAAAACAAGGAGGAGGTGGTGCAGAATATTAAGATGATAAATATGTTGAGATACAGTAGGTGGGATGAGGGGGGGGTTCTTTAGATAAGCAGCTTTTACAGCAGTAAATCAAAGACGATAAACAATACCGCCATTAGCTGCATTTCTCTTCTATTTTTACACAGCAATGATGAATTAAAAGAAATCTTGCTTTAGAACTCAGAAGGAAACTTTCACAGCTTGTAATTAAAGCAGCTTAAAGTCCGTTCATCTGGACTCGGACTCACCTGAGGCTCTCTTGTGCGGCCTGGCGGGGGTCTTGGTTCCGTTCTGCTGCTTCTTCTCCAAAGGCGAAAGCGACGGCAATGACGGGAGAGCGACGGACCTGTGGGAGGGCGAGAGCGAGGGCTTCTTGTCCATCGGGGAGGGAGACGCTGTCGACGGCGCTCGTCTGTTCAGGGGCGATCTGGCCGGGCTCGGACGCCTGTCCAGGGAGGAGGAGGGAGGCGTGATGGAGCGCGGCGTTGAGGGGCCGCCGCCGCGGCCGTTGGTGAGCTTTTCGCCGGAGCGCTGCGAGGCGAAGGAGGAAGATTTGAGAGGCGAGAGCGTGGATGAGGACGAAGAGGAGGAGGACGAGGAGTTGAGGCGAACGTGCGACGTCGAGTCTGCTCGGTTCAGGCAGGGCATCTTCTCCAAGCTCACGACTGGCAACGACACGCTGGTGGGAGGGGGAGGGAGAGGGTAACGCAGCGTTAAAACGTTGCGAAAATTTGTGGATTGGAAACTGCAAAAGCCGAGCGGAAGTTTTAAAAAAGTGGAAAAGATGCACAAACCATGTCTTGTTCCTTGCTCCTTTCGGTGGGTAGACGGCAAGCGGTGCCTTGCTGAAGCGGGAATGAGGGTAGTCTTTGGGGACCCTGAAAGCCAGCGAGTCCCCCGGGCTGGGGGCCACAGCGGAGGCCACCGCAGGCGCTTTGGGCTTCATGGGAAGCACAGGGCTCTTGGAGGGGACCGGGGAGCTGTGTTGCTTCTCTAAGAAGAAGAAGAAGAAAAAGAAATGGTTACCTTAACCACGAGGAAGAGTAAAAGATTAGCTAAGCCACACACACAGAAGACAGGAATGTAAATAGAAACAACACACTCATCATACAGAGCCATGCAAAAGAACTTTCCCAAATTTTGTCACACTGGAACTACAAACCTCAATCTGTTGTATCGACATGTACGCAGAGTAAACTTTGCTTGTAAATCGGAGGAAAAAATGATCGTTTTTTTGATTAAAATTCTTCAAATTCTGGCATGAATTTGTATTCAGCCACTTCCCCCTTTCTACCTCTTTCAGTGCCAAGAAGAAGAAGAAGAGAGAGAAAAAAAAATCATGACAGATGTAGTTCACAATCAATGCAGGGGAAGTAAAAACTACGTGGCGTCGCTTTTCTTCACCACCGACAAAGAAACGATCCAAAGCTGACGGGAAGACGGGTGACGGTGGATCTAAGTGCTTGAAAATCTTGGAAGAAAACTTATCTGAGGCTACAAGAGTTGACGCCATGGTGGAGCATCACCTTCCAGCACAAAATCAACGCTAAACATACAGCCAGGGCTGCGTTCAAGTTCGTTAAGGTGTAGGGATAGTCGTGCGTTAGAATGGCCCAGTCAAAGTCCAATTGAGAAACTGTGGTTCGATGTTCACAGATGCTCTGTGTTCCAGCCGATTAAGCCTAAGCTGTTTGGCTAAGACGAATGGGCAACAATTTCAGTCTCCATGTTTGCAAAGGGAGCTAAAAACAAACAGTTTTAAAAGCACGCACTATTTTGTCAGTAGGAACATTCAGAGTACTTCTTTTTTTTTTTTTTTTTCTTTTCTGCTTGTTGACAATCAGAAGTGGAATATAACACTGAAAGTCATTTCCTGCTCCCTAACCAGATGGTTGTTTTGTAACAAAGCACATAGCAAAACTGTGCCTCAGCTTCACCTCAATAAAAAAAACAACAAAAAACAACAAAAAACAACTGTTCCCAAACCAACTTCCAGCTCTTTGCTCCAATTAACGACATGCCCAACGCTACCTGAAGTACACTCATCTGATGAACGCCACCTTACTAATGTAAATCAGACTGGAGCCCACAATAATGAACCCGTTTTGACCCAGATCTGATCAGAATGCTTGAGCGAAAGACCTCCGAGACACAGCAGGGGAAAATCAAACACACAAGTCTGTTGGGGTGTGTGGGTGGAGGATTCGGGGTGGTGGTGGTGGTGGTGGTGGTGGTGGGGGGGGGGTGGCTGAGGAGAGGAGAGGAGCTTAACTTACGGTTTTTGCTATGCATGTTCTTTGTGGGAGCAGGGTGGGTAGGGGGTTGGGGGTGTGTGGTCCAGGACTGTCTCTCTCTGAGTCTGTCTCACAGGGAAACTATATCCCAGCTACCTGAATAAAAACAGAGGGGTGAAGATGTCGTAAACGCTCAGGAAATAAGCATAAAGGGGAGAAAGAGAACACACGCACATTCACACACTGTCTTTTTGGGCAGCGAAGATCAAGATAGAGAAGTTAGGTAAAAAAAAAAAAGGTAAAGAAACCGGTGTGTGCACAAAAATGTTGAGAGTCTGAATTTCCTGCTTGGTGATAAGAATCAAAGTGTGCAGGCAGGAAGCTGCAAAACTGAAACGTACCAACAGAGAGGAAAGTAACTTTAACAGACAAGAAAGGGTTAAAAGTTACTACATGTGTTCAGTTCAAGGAGAAAAAGTTATTTTGAACTGACACTTCAGTCGGAAAGCCGTGTTCTCAATCATTAGCAATCAAAAACAAACACCTGGACATTCATGCAAATCGACTTTTTTGCAAAGCCTCAATCTTATCCCCCCCCCCACATCTCCACAGGTCAGAATATCAACAACATCCCACAAGCAGCGTTTCATCTCCTCAAGCAAGACTCAAAGCGCTCCCTGGTTCAGGAACAAAGCGTGCTCACACTCACACACACACACACACACACACTCACACACACACCCGCACACCGAGACGTAAAGGCAAACCCTCCACATAAAGAGAAACAAGAGGAAGAAGAACCGGAGTTTTCTGCGACAGATGGTGGAAACGGCACTTGCCACTCATGATGTCGCTGTTAAAGACGCATAAAAGGCACAAAATGTATTTTTCTCTTTTTCAACCAAAGCTGGATCCCTAAGCAGGGTAGAAATCCACCAGAAGGCTGAGGAACAAAGTTGTAATCATGTGCAGCTGAGGTGAAATCCTCAAAAATAGCACTTTTTCCTTCCACTAAATTTTCCAGATTTTTTTTTTTTTTTTAGTTTTCGCTTCAGTTTTTATTACTTCATTAGATAGAAACATTTTAAACTACTTTAAAACTGAAACTACGTTCAATTGGAATGTATGTATGATGAAATTGAAATGATTTTTAGGGAAATACTTTGAAACAACATTCGTTGTACATAAATAAAATTGAACTATCCAGACGACTTCATTTTTCAATATTACTAAAACTGATTAAATGTGGTATTGTAAGTTTTTCTGCCAATATATCCGGCATCTCTTCCCGCATCTTTACAATAACATCTATTGATTCACCCAGCAAGTAGCACATAACATAGCTGAACAACCACTTAATGGCAGGGCAGCATAGCAGAACTGCAGAACCTGAACTGTGTGTTTGTTCAGAGTGAATGTGTGGAAGTGGGCTGTGGGCGACGGGGACAGGGAGCGTGTCGGATCATATCGCGACTTTGTATTAAAACGCACATATTCCGAGTGGATCCTGGCGAAAACGGACTTAAATCTAAGCATTGCAGTTCTACAAAACACACTTTGATTTCTTATTTTCCCAAAGAGTTTCTTGTGCTTGTGTTGTTTTCTTGAGTGTGACGACAGGTGTGTAAATAAAGCGCCGGAGGCAGGCAACCGGCGGAGGCAGCTGTATTCAGAATAGCAGGGCTAAAGTCCAGAGTCGCATTCACTGGCATGCAGGACAAATTTCACACGTTTATTCACATGTTCTGTCGCCACTTCGCACGTCGGGACTCGCACAATTTTAGTCAACTCAGCTTTACAACTCAACAAAGCAGCTGACGCTCTGATTAAACATGTAATGAAGAAGTATCATTCTTTGGCTAATTTTCAATCATCTATTTCATACAGTCTGATAGGTCACATGTACTGTGAGCTTGTTAAATAATAATAATAAAAAACAAACTCTGCCTTTAACATTTTTATAATTTTCTATTACTCCGTAAAAAATATCAGAATTGTTTTATTGGTCAGCATAACGTGCGATCATGAAGCGTTTCTGCAGAAGGCATTTTTGCACAACTCTAAACGTCACGTGCTGCATATGTTGATTTTGAAGAAGGATGTTATTTTAAGATCTCGGCGCTCCAAAATTAGATGACGAACGATGACACTTTTGTTGCGATGACTCTTGGTGGTTGGCTTTTAAAGTTTCATGTTTGCATTTTTATTCCAAATGCTACAGAGCTTTATAGAAAAAAAAAAACAACTTTATAAACTTTGAGCTAATAAAACAGACATTAAAAAAAAGTTTTTCTTGGTTTAAAGGACAAAAGGATATAACTAAGGTAAAATTAGCTAAATAAAAGTAATAAATATAGTATAGTAGCTTTTCAATTAAGTGATACTAGGTAATGTAGTGACAAAAAAAGTACTTGTCATTAACAAGATATGAGCTAATGAACCTACTTTTGCCAAAACACTCAAAGTTAAGGATAAACTGGAAGCCAGACCCCATGATTCACTTAAATGAACAATCCTCTGGCAAGGTCACCAAGCCACTCAACTCCAATGTCGCTATCCCTGCTACTCTCTCCTGTCCGCCTGGTGTCATTGGCCGTGCTGACAGCCCAGCTGGCTGCTGATTGGTCTCTTATTCAACCTGCAGGCAGAGCCAGAAGATGATAAGGAAGTAGGCTCTCAGAGCTCAGCTGAGTTATGTTGAGTATGTTGAGAAAGAAGCAAAAAGGAGGACAGAAAGATGAGAATATAAGAACAAACATCTGCGATGAACCCCAGTTAATATCAGCCATTAAGTGTTTTGTCTACTGCAGCTGCTCTCTTATAAACAACACGAAGTTCTGGAAAAACCAGCAGCGCAGTGACGGCGCTGGTTTACGCAGCAGATATCCTGGTGACCAGAAAATTGTTTTTAAGAAGCTGCAAATGAATTACTGTTTAACTTAACGTCGTAAACAAATGTATAGCACACATCCAGCTGAGCAACAGTTGGCGATTTGGATAACGACGAATAAAGAAACCTGCCAAGTTTCCAGGAAGCGTCATGTTTTAATCTGCTTCAGGATAGAAATTCAATTGCACACAGAACCAAAATCCAAACAATGAGTCAGACTAATTTTTGTTTAAATTTCTGCAAGAATGATTTTACTTGGGAGGGAAAATTGCGTCATAAATTAGCCAATCTTCTGAGCAGCTTAATAACAATTGCAGATGCTTAACACTTTTTTTTTTTTTTTGCTGGTTTCACAAAGAGCTTTAACATTAGTTCTGCATCCTCCTAATCTTTGGTTTAGAGCACAGAAGAAACCGGAGAACCTTTACTTAAGATATTCTGCAAAGTTCTTCGAAATGACAATTATTTTGACCAAAATATATAACTTTAACAAAAAACAGAGTACCACAAGATTCAATTGTTGGTCCCATCGATTTTGTGTGCTCCTCATTGGGTGGTGTCATCCCAAAACATGACTTTTTTTTTTTACATAGCTATGCTGATGACATGCAGCTGTACGTTGTAGTGACCCCAGATGACACCACTGGTGCAATCGAGCTGCATTAGATGTTACGGGATTTTCTTCAGCTCAATTACGACAAAACTGAAGCTTCAGTGATTGGCACAGATCCTTTCAGATCACATTAGGGAAAAAAAAAGTTATTAAAATGTTACAAAGAAGACAATTTATCATCTGAGAAACAGTATCAACGTTCAAGTCCTTCTCTCACAGTGCTTAAATGAACTGTTTATTAAGCCTTTTTTAAGTTATGCAGAATGTTTGAACTATTTTTTTTACAGCTTTGTAAAATTATATACATATATATATATTAAAAAAAATCCCATTTAAAGAGTCTGATACTAGAAACTTTCTTTAGAGTGACAAACTTTAGCTAAACCAAAACAATATGCAATGACAAAAGGTCAGAGCAGGAAGGGCCATCGGGGCCACAATCCAAATAAAACAAAAATATTTATGCATGTCGAAGTCATCTGTTAAAGTAGAAATATAATTAAATAATTGCAATTGGAAATATCCTAAAATAGCAATATGAAAAAATAATTCACTTTGCAATTTCATGCTTCCTGTTTTGCTGTGTGCAGTGAAAACTTCCACAAACCCTTCCTACTGTATATTATTTTTATAATTTAGTAATAATAATGTTAGATTTTTTTTTTTAACCAAAGAAAATATATATTTTTTTAATTTAGTTTGATATTTCACAATCCTGTGCTGCAACACATCATGAATGTTATTGTTCTTTTCATCGGGTGGTGCTAATTCTGCATTAGTTAAATTAGATTAGTCTAAAATTATTTCTATTTTTAATATACAATTTTAAATAGTTAATTTATTCCCCTATCTAAAAAAAATATGAAATGCTTAACCATGGACATTTAAATATCCGCACTTATAATATCTAGTAGATTTATGTAAATTGTCTTAAAGTTATACAAAATGTTTTACTGATTCATTTACTGCTAAACCATTTCGTCATCCCAGACAAATACCAAAGAATAAAACTTTGGTTGCCATAGTGCTGCTGATGATTAAAAAAAGTATTTTAAGAGCAAATGAATGCAGGATGTGTCACTGTGACCAGACCTGCTCTCCCAAACATGACTTGAGTTAAAGTAAAAGTAAACCAAAAACCACTGCACCAGTTATGAGCATGAAGAACTAAAAACACTTCCTGTTACTTCCTCCAAATAAGAAGGTGATGATGGCAAAAATAATCCTGAGAACAAACAAGCAACAACAACAAAAAAATTATAATAATGTCACCCCACTTTTTCGGTGAGATAAAAATAAAGAATCGGCTTTTACAGGCCCAACTGAGAGCTAATATGCCTCCAAACCACAACAGCAACTGTTAAGTTGTGCGCGCCGCTCCCCATTGGCAAGTGAAACCCATCAGCGCTTCTGTGGTTAAAGGCAAATTTCACCACCAACATTCAGACGGCGAGCGATGCGAACAACAAACTTCTATGACGACACACTCAGCATCACGGTTGTTGAGTTTGGGGTATACTGAACCTGAAAAGATATCTAGAATTGATTTGATGTGCCTGGAAGCTCAATAAACCCACAGCCACGGAGATGGGGCGGGGGGGGAAAGAGGGAAAAACACTCCAACTGACAGCAGCAACATGGCCCTTTCATCGCGTGTTCAACTTACTCACACACACCAGGAGGAGGAAGAGGTAGTGAGGAGAGGAAGAGGAGCAGAGGAGAAGAAGTGCGTTGAATTATCAAAAAGATACGATTGGAGGTTTGATTTATTCAAACACGTGGCTTCAAAAGCAGGAAATCTGCACTGACCCGTTAATTCTTTGGTCTCTGGTGGGGATTGGGACTCACATGGAGTCCGGTTTCAAACACAACATAAGGGCTGCCCACACAGAACTCATGTTCCAGGTAGTTTACTAGCTTCCTACACAGGCAACATGGATTCTACTCATTTTCTTACAGCAAAAATTTTACTTTTACACCCTGATTAGGCAATAATAGGGTTTAAGGTTTTAGTATTTTTGAGTTTTTTTTTTTTCTCACATTTCTTCTCTGAATGCTCTCTAGACAGAATGTGGTACTGACACTGCCAGCGCCGCGGATTTAGATTATATCCCACAGGAAAAATTATGCTAAGAATATGCATGCCTGCTTCACTTTAAGGAGAACTAAATAAACACATCCACAAAAAAATTCACCAGTCTGATGAACAACAACTGTTGGTTTCTGTGCTATTTAGCCAAGTTTGTTAAGCTGAAATCTAAAACGTTATAGTGGATGGATGATGACCAATAGATAAATGGATGAATGATTGACAAACAGATGAATGAACAGGTGATTTACAGATAGGTGGATGACTGACGAATGGATGGATGGATAGATGATTAATGGATGGATAATTAGCAGATGGATGGATGATTGATGGAGGAACAGACAGATGCATGGATGGATGCATGGATGGATAATTGGACATCCCTCCATCCATTTAGATGGACAATCAACATATGGATAGATGACCAACACATGAATAATTGATGGTTGAATGGCAGACAGATGGATGTTCTAGACACAATGGGACAGGGAATAAAGTCTGGAAACAAACATTTCACAGTGCTCCATTTTCTCCCTTCCACCTCATCATCTGCACACATCGGCTGGCCTCAGATCCCTCCGATGTTCCAGCACAGCAGATATGAGCAGCAAACGGTGCATGCAGAGCCAGGAGGCAGGAATGCCCCGAGGCAGCCAGCCTGCCCCTCCCTTCAGTGTGTAGCTGTAAAACCTCGGAGCTGCTCTGATGTGCAGGTCAAGCACAACAGCGAAGCCCTCGATGAATAAACACAAAGACAAAATACGACGCTTATGTGGGTCACAACATTTAGAGTCAAACCCCAGAGGGGAACGATGGCGCGTGTGAGGATGCGCCACAATAGAAGGAAGTACATCGCGTATCATGAAACTATCTAAACTGGGTGAGCTCTTAAAGGGAAGGTCAGCTGGAGCATTTTTACATGCCATAATATCCTTTTAAAGAAACCAAGAGGTGTCGGGCTGAAGCAATAAAATTGTTTGAATTTGGCTTGAAATTATGATAAAATGTCTTTTTGCTGCAGAATTTCCAAAATCACGTCACTTTAACAGGAAAAGTTGGATGTCGTGTCTCCCTTGCTCAACTGCGAGCGTTGATGTGCATGAATGACCTGTTGTCACCCGACCAAGCAGAAACTCTGCCAAAAAGAGTAAAGTGGGTGGAGTGGTGGGAGGGGAAGGGGGTCGCTGTAGGGGACAGGAGTACGAACAGAACAACAGTGGTTGCCAGGAGTTTATTTGTGAGTGTGTATCCCACAATAGCGCTGACCTCCTTCTGCTGAGAAACAGAAAGTGAGGATGTGTGTGAGTATGTGTGTGCAACTCTGCTCGCCTTGCTGTCCACGCTGAGGAAAAGTCTGCTTGTGTGTGTGTGTGTGTGTTTGTTCACCGAGCGTGACCCTGTGCCTATCCCCTCCTCTTACCCGCTCAGAATCATATACGACGAATCAAAACAAAGTCGAGGATAATCCTTACGTAGATGGTAGTGAAGAACAAGGTTTTCACTAATTCTTTACATGTAAAACTTTGAAAAATTTTTATTATTCACACCGCTGGGGCAAATAATGCCCTGAAACTGCCAGAGTCACAAGGGAATGGCCTAGTCAAAGTCCAGACCTAGATATAATCAACACCTATATCTAAGGATTGTTAGGCAAAGACACACCCTATAACTAGAACATTTACTTAAGGTAGACAATACATTGAGGTATGCGGATTCTGTCCGCTAACATCCTGTTTAGACATCTCTGATCCACATAATATCTGTTTTTAACATGTTGATGCACTGAAATACTTTCCTAAGCAAATCAGCAGAAAGTACCACTGTGATTATTAAAGACCTTTTATAAAGGAAGGCACACATTAGTGTGTGTACCTATTTGTTAGACAAAAACACTTGTTTACAAAACTCCACCTGTAAATTATTTAGTGCTTCTCAGCTTTCGTCTGCCTGCTGCTTATTATTAGAAGGCATAAACATGTGGCGCCTGGGCGCTTACATAAATGACAGGTTGGAGTGATAATCACCAGGTATTGTATCGATCTGGTTGTCACACTGTGTGTGTGTGTGTGTGTGTGTGAGTGAGTGTGTGCATGCGTGTGCGAGTGTGTAGAGCATATCTCAGTAATATATGAATATGGCCATAAATGTCTGTCTTCCCGTAAAGCACATTTCTTTGAATTGGAGCTATTTTTAATAACTGCACAGTGTTATTAAAAACACGTTATTTTATTATGCTGAACATTTTCCCTTACTGTATAATCTTCCAGTTGCCTGTCACAGGGATAATAAATGTTATTTCAAGTCTATTCAAAAGTGTGAGTATATATGTGTGTGTTGAGCTCTCTGTAAGCTGTACTAACAACATAAGCTAGCAGAGTAAATATAAAAATAGCACAAAGTGTATGAGTTTGGCCTTCAGCGTCTTTGCCTTACCGTAATGTGTGAGGATGCCCTGAGGAGTCACCACCTTACTGCAGACATGGCAGACAACAAGACAAAAATCCTCCAAAGCAGGGAAATGGGTGCAGACAAGCATCTCTGAAACAGACAGACAAATAAGATGCCATATTGATATGGGAGGAAGAAGAAACATGGCGTACCAACTGGAGGTGTCACAATAATAGCCGACAAAGGAAAACAAAACCGTTGTTTAAAGGTACTTTCCGTTTGAGGCAGATGGACAGGAAAAAAAACAAAAACGAAATGCCTAATGAAGACACAGGCTGGCTGTGCTAACACTACAAGCTAATGCTACAAGCAGTGACAGAACAACCTAAAAAAAGGTCAGCTACTTTATCTCTAAAAGTGAAGTAGTAAACCTCCTGGACGACAGAAGCTAATGGTATCTAAATATTAGCTTCACAGCCCAAATGTTTTTATATTCGACAGCATTCCGTTCTAATATGGCAAGAATTAAAAGAAAGTTGTAATCAGCTGTCGGCTCTGTCGGTTACTAAATAGCAAAGAAACAAAACAAAACCGTGCAAAACTAGGAGCTACACTGACGCTCACCATTGGAGCAGAAAGCAGGAGCCCATAGCAACCTGCTCTGCTGCTGTAGTTAATCGCTGAAGAAAAAAAATGTGCAAAATGATGAGAAAGACATAAATTGTACAAGTCTGCAGCTGAATACATTTGCATGGATCAGATTCCTTGTTTATGCTGCAACAAATACGTTTTGTACGCTCCAGACCCTTTAGATGATAAATCTTTCCAAATTAGAGGTGAATCGTTTCCTAGTACTGCTTGGTTTTGTCTTGTTAAGTAACTTAGTGTTCTAATTTAATGTCACCATGAACATATTATTCATCTAGTTTTACGGAGGTGGCGGAGGCAAAAAAAGTATCTGTGCGTTCCTTTTTACACGAGAGCTGCAAAACCAAGAGGGAATTACATGAAGAGCAGCAGCAGCAGCGGCGGCAACAGGTTCTATTTGTTCAATAAGTCAGCGGATGACAGCGCAGTTTACTCTGAAGCCACCTGCCGAGGCAGCAGCATCACAGACCCTGACTCAAGGGAACAAACTGATAAAACAAACTGTGCTGATGGCTACTCCAGGAGCCCCTGGAACAGCGCGTTAAAAGGAGAAAGCAGCACAAGCAAGCGCACACCCCGTTCTGTTTTGTACTTTATTGTTCCGTTTAATTGTAAACCAAAAACTACAAGCTGCGTGCGATAATGAGAGTAGAGAGCATCACTCAGTCAACAAGAATGAGGAAAATACATTTCTACCGAACTTCCTCGGCTGCTTTGATAAGAGCATAACAAGAGTGACACAAATGTAGTCATTTTGGTTGTCTCCGAGTTTTTCTTTTCTCTTGGATAACCAGCTGAATAATTAACCGTTTACTCTCCGTTTTGCTTTCCAATTAGCTTTTTTTCATTTGCAAAGATAGTAATTCAGACTCATTCTCTGTCTAACCAGTTTCTCTTTTTCTACGCGGATCTATTGCTGATATTAGCTTTGCATACTTTCTCTTTTGCTGTCCAGAGAAACGAGGCCGGACGCAATGATCCTGTGTTAACCTTCATCTCTTTTCAGGATGAAGACATTGACAGAACCATTACTGCTTTTAATTCCTCATTCATACTCCTAGGGCACGGCTTCTGGGTTTAACTCTGTCATTCCTGTCATCTACATTTACTCCAGGGACTTTTCTCTCCTCGTAGAAAGTACTCTAAACTCATTTTTTAATTGAGTACTTGCTAATTGAAGCATTAGGTGAGTTTCTCTTTTTGTCCTGTTTTCTCATACTCTTTGTTTTACTTTGCCGTAGCGCTTCTTGCTACTGCTAGCACTGACCATGTGTGCTCTCTTTTCCAAAGACTACACAGCCAGGCCGTCGTGATGTTTTGATAACTTGTATCCTTTACTTTTCCTGGCTGTCTAGAAGAGCCAACAAGAGATAAGTGATTGATTGCAGTCTTCTTATCTCGAGAAGAAACGGCCGGGTGACAAATTGTCCTCTGAAAGGAAGGCTAGAAGCATACAGTGTTCTGGATGCTTCTAGCATCGTTATCCCTCAAGCTACAAGAGACACTCCCACCCACTCAACAAAAACACAAGCTTATAATAAATACAGAAGGAAAAAACAAAACAAAAAACGTCCATTTAAAAGCAGCTATTTTCTCTTCTGGCTAAGCTTCCAGAAGCTAAACAAGCTCTGCTGACAGAAATCACAGTACTTATTAGCACGGGCTTTAAGCCACACTCACAGGGAGGAGGTGCGCGTGTTTGAGTAAGCATGCAAGGAGGAGGAAAAATTGTCTGAGAGACGTGTGGGTGTGTGTGTGTGTGTGGGTGCCTGACTGTTCGTGTTGTGATGACCCTGCATTACTGGCGAGTTTGCTGTCAACCTGTGCGTCTAAGACAGAGTCATGCTAAGTGCCTGTTGGCATAGAGTCTTACAGCTGGACTGTACCATGCTACTGACTTGTATGTATGGAATGTGCATGTGATGCCAGTCGTCAAGAGCGTGTGAATGAAAGCGCTAATGCGTGCTTAACGGCTCAGAAGCGACTGCGTTACGTTCAACAGCCATCAGGGCGGTCACGTACCGACTGGGCCCCGGTCAGCCGGACGCATTTCATGACCGCAGCAATCTTAATGCAACTTTAAGGGCTGGTGCGAGTAAATAATTTAGAGTTATGATGTTATTTGAAGCAGAATTATGAGACTAATGTGCTTTGCCAGCATGGTTCACCTAACTTTGATTTTTTTTTTTAAGCTGTATAAAGTCATTGGCCACGCTATTAGGTATACCTCGATAGTATCGGGTTGGATCCAATTTTACTTTTAGGACTGCTGTAATTATTCATTGTGTGGACGGAACGAGGTGCTATAAACATCACTCAGAGACTTTTTTTTTTTGTCAAAATATTACAAGTGCATCTGAAAAAACGCATAGCAGATCCATCTGGTACCAGAAAACAAGGACACGTAAATCATTTATCATCTGATAAATCTGATGCTCAACTAAATGCATTGACCTGCAACGATATGATGGTCCGATTTGATATTTATGCCAACAAGCAATTGTACCGATGTGCACCACGCAACGTGGTTGGTGAATGTAAAAATAATTATGCAAAAATAAAAGCCTCTGAAACTTAAATTTCCCTCGCCTTCTTGTGAGTGTGTGGTGGGGGAGCAGAGTTTCTTCAGGTATAATAGCAGAGACTGTGCAACTCCAGTCAAGATATTCACAATTGGACACCTTGGCACAACTGAACACCTCCACACACTATGTCTTTTCTCTGGTAAAAAAGACATGCTGACACAGAATAATGTACTCGAGAAAGCTGAGCGACAAGTACAAGAGAATGTGAAGGAAAAAAAAAAGAACAGACTCTCGACTCTGCAACTGTGACAAGAGATTTAGAAAGAGGATAGCTCCATAAAGATATGAAGCAATTAGGTTAATAAACTCAGCATAAAACTGTAAATTAGGCACTGTAGTTTTTTTTTGTACCCTTTAACTCTCTCACCAAGTATCAGCTTTATTATAGTCGTTAAGAATTGTGGAAAATTGTGATGATAATCCCTTAAATCCAGCTCATAATCTAATTTCATTGAACATTATTACTTATGTAAGATTAGATGATAATAAATGGATGCTAAACTTATTATACCTGAAATATTGTTTGCTGACAATTAACTAAATAAATACTTTCCAAAATATTGTAACTTTGGCTAATTTGTTGCTTGGCCAGAAAGCGAACATATCTTCTACATTCTCAGCTGTATATTCATTGTACATTTTTATGAGTAAGACTATTTTTTGATTGTTAAATATGTGCTTTTTTTTTTTTTTTAACCATGGAGTGAAAACTGTGGGAGTCTTCTTTCAGCCAGTTGACCGTTAACGGTTCTGAACCCTTGAAAAATGCATCAGCTGTAGACATTTTCTCCCAAAAGCATACCAGTTTCCATTCCAATGTATTTTCAACATATTGTAAGGATTTCTACATTAAAATAAGTGTATTTAATAATAATAATAATAATATATATAAGGTTTCCTTATAAAATGTTAATGAAAATGCCACAATATTGTCTCACATTGTGCTTGAGTAATTATTTTTGGTGAAGAGGGGTCGAAACAGCAAAATTATCAACTCATTTACTGAGCTGGCAACATAAATATGTGAAAGCCCTGTTTGTATACAGCTTAACACAACTGCCACGAGACGACGCTTTCTACTAATGGAGCCGCACCGTGGAGGAAAAAAAAAAAAAAAAAAAAAAGCCAACATCGAATGATCATATTCTGAAGAGAAATTTTGAACCTTTCTAGTTTTGGCCGCTAATGGAGCCGTCCGTCGTGAGACGTTTTGTTCTGACGATGCGCCAATTCATACCCGCCGGGTGGGTGTGGGGAAGTGGGATGGGGGGCGGGGGGAGGGGAACGCTTCAAGCCAGCTTTGACACACAGTGGATTTAAGTAATTTTCTATATTCGGTTCCAGGAAAATGTGGTTGAGTGATTTTAATAAGCAATATCTACCAGCAAGAGGTCGCCTAAAGTTATACTGGTTTGGCCTATGTAATGCAAATTCTAAAAACAAAATAGGAGAATTGAATTAAATGTGTGATATCTGAGCAATTTCTGAGTTTTTATTTATTTATTTATTATAGTTCATTACTGTGATTTTTGTTGTTGTTGTTGTTTGTTTACTGGTACAAAATGGAAGCCTGAAAGGAAGAAGAAGCTTCTTTTTGTAGCTAAAATAGTTGAAACGACCAAAACTATAAAAGTATGAAATGACAGGCACTCACTAAAATCGCATTACAGCAAAAATAAATTGCAATAATTAAATCATATCTTTCAGTAAAATTAACTAGTAAAGGAAAAATACACAATATCTAATCTCTCATTTTTATACCTCATCACTTACAAGAATAAACAGATTCAGACTTGCATCGTTTATTTTTTCTGTACGCCATCAATGCAATCAACAGTCTCACTATAGAATAAAGTTTTCTTTTGCATCTCTGTCTGACATGGCTTTCTTACTTACAGTCAGACTTCCTAGGTTGTG